ATGTAGTAAAAGTTCCTGAAAAGTGAACATGGCTGTCTCAAATCACAGCAAAATGGCATTCAGTGAGATTCAGAAGGACAACAATGAGCTAATGCCAGGCTCCAAAAAGCATTAAGTAGTGGTAAATTAACACGTGGGGATTTTTTCTGCTGCTCACCATCACTTACTTTGCCTTGACAAAATATCTGTTTACCTTACTGATTTCCAAATGCAAACTACTGTGAAAATTTAAGTTTGTCTAAGCCAATTTCTCCTTTTCTAATGAGAAAAACAGTCTGAGTTATTGTTTTCACAGGTAAGTCCTTCCGCATTCATACTGAATTGGATTTCACATTACTGCCTTCAATCAGCTTGGCAAATCTTCAGAATACATTCACCTGAAAAGTCTGGAGCCTACAACATACATTTCCTCCAACGTTATATAGATGAATAAGTTAAACACATGTTTGTTTTAAATGTCAAGCCATCAGTTCTTCGCTTTTTCAAACAAGAAGGGGATTTTATGCCATTTTACTGATGTTTGCAAGGTTTTGGGGTGGCCACGTCACAAGATCTTTTCAGCCTGTTTTTAGAGGACTTGAAAACCTCATTTCTTCACACATATTACATTTCTGTCTCCAGCTCAGCCAACTTTCTTATTGCTAAGATACAAGCTGTCCAAACACACATCTACCCACTCTTGATTCAAAACTATCTTTATATTAAAGTCTGTCAGGAGCGATTAGTCTGAATAAACAGACGCTATAAATCCATTTCAACGATCATACAATGTGTGCGTGTGGTTATACACATGGCAACATTTGAAACACTAAAAATTGCTTGATCAAATTGCGCAAAGTAACAAGCTAAAGCAACAGCAACCTCAAGATGCTCTTGGAGGCAGCTCTCGGGAGGTGGGGGAAAAAAAAAACACACTAATTTTCTTTCCCAGGGTGAAGACCGTTCAGGTTACTGGCAGAGTACCTCCACATCAAGGGAAATGGAAGAAGCTTCATTAAAAGATGACTTTTCAGTGGTTCAGAAGGTTGTGTGGACAACACTGCCAGACTGAATTAAAGACCTACAACTGTTTAGGTCACACATGCATTACCAAAGTACGCTGACAATGCGGGTCAGAGCTTTAAGGTGGACAGACCTAGAAACACTCCTGCGGAGACCAAGAGATGGCAAGCTCCTGCTTCCAATTGTCAAATGTCTTCGGCACTCGCTGCTCCAATTCCTGGTTCTGAAGCCAAAACTTCAATAAGGAACAACAGCACCGCGTTCACCAAAATACTGCCCTGCCCGAACACGTTACACTACGACTGCTCCCCTGTGCACTTCTCCTTTCACACAAGCAGCCATTCGGGACCGCTGCCCTGCAATCAGGTTTCACGGAAGATTGCCAGGAGTACTCTGATACACACAGGAGACCTCTCAGTACAAACCGAGTACATATTACCAACGTGATGCTGTTAGAGGATGCCTGTAATTTCCTTATTGTTTCCTCTTGAGCACCAGAGCACCAGCTGCACCTCGCGTACAGTACCTACGGTCATGCTTCCCGGGCCACCACCAGGAACCTGGGAAAGTGGACACTCAAAGCACAGAGCAAACGCCAGTGAGACAAGTAAGTAACCTCTGTGCTCATGGCCATTCTTCTTGGGCCAAACAAGCTGTGGGCTCCACTTCAACTCACTGCCCCTGACCACACCGCTAAAGACAAAAAGCTTAACCTAAAAATTTGACACAACTATTTCCATAAATCTAGATTTGGGGATATGAAACTATTTTTAACGTACTACCTGTACATTAAACCACTTGTAAGGTGTCTCAGAAAAAAGTAGAAGTTACAACACAATTTGTTATTGCTAAAATTTGACATGAAGTGCGTTTGATACTTAACAGCAAACTACCATAAACGCAAACACCCCAAGTCAATTGTTTAGCAAACGGCTTTTTCAGAACACCGTACAAGCCCCCTCAAGGGCTTGTTCCCTCCTTCTTTATTCTTCTGAAGAAGTATACAACTGTGAAACATTGATCACCCTAGCTCCCGTTCAGTCTTTCAGGACTGCCAACTCTCCAGCACGATACAAATAAAACCCAAGTGTTTCCTCTTAGATCGGGTCACCGTTACGTGGCTGACGCTGTAATTCTGAGCCTGTAGGTACGGTTCGTCTGCTACGATATCATATAACAAAGGCACACGGGTAAAGGAAACATAAGAAGTCCCTACTCTCTTCACAAAGGATTGTTTATAATGGACCCAAAATGGAGCCATTCTACTATAACAGGCTGTTTCTTTTCTTGCCATTAGTAAAAAGGAACCAACTGTAACCAAAATACCATCTACAACAATAGGTCCATTCAGAAGAAATTGATTCAGGCTCTCCTCATAAAGCAAACATGATAAGGAAGAGGGGGAAAAGACTCCGAAGGGACTTCAGAGGGGTGGGACGTGAGCAGCCACGAATAACCTGTTAAGTAATGTAAGGTTACCGAAGCGCAGACAGCACCGCAGCGCTAACCACCCGACAGGCATCCCCGGTCTGGGAGCACGTCGCAACTTGGCCGTTTCCTCCTGCAGCGACCAATGTTTGCAAGCACTGGGAACTACAAGCCAGCATGCTCTCCTTCCCTGTAAAGTATTTCCACTTTTTTTTCCACCCTCTTTTTGCTTTCAAGCTTTATCCAGAAAGTTCTGTGGTCTCTTAAAAGATGGAAGAGTAAGGCTGGAGATTATAGAAAACATTTACTACTATGTGGTCTGCATTCAGTTTTGGAAACCTGCATTCAGTTTTGGAAACCACTTGTTGTGAACCAGCATTCCCAGGCACAGCAACCACAAAGTCAACAAACTAAATGTTTACCAGGCTTTAGGGAACGCAAAAGCAAGTGCAAGAACTAGAACGAAGTGGACCGTCAAGAGCCAGTTTCAGTAACTACAATTGGACTCCACTGTCCAATTTCATTTGTTTTCCAATTTCTTTGTGTGTTTTTTTTTTTTTTTTTCCTTCCTTCAAATCAATCTCAACAATCACGAGATTGGAAAACATCACATTTTCATCAATGTTGACGTTTTTTTCTATTAGCTCATCTGTCAAATCTGACCTTAATGCAATTAACCAAAATAATTTCCTTCCCAAACTGAGCATCTCGGTTTTTTGCAAACTCATTGAGGCTACAAAACCAAATCTAGTTTGAAATTGCTATCAATTAAATCCTATCTTTAAAAGTTAAAAAAAAAAAAAAAAAAAAAACACATTACGAACACAAAAAAAAAACTGTTAATTTTATTTGAAATATTCATATGCTTTTGGATCCACAGTTTCCCTCCCTACCCCCCTTAGCTGATCTAAGAAAGTTAGTTATTTCTAACAAGACTTGACGAGTCGGAGGCAGTATTACTCCTTATAGAAATCCATACGTTGTCTAAGACACCTCTCTCTCAGCTTGGCTGGGGGAAGGAGGGGAGGAGAGAAGATGACAGAAAGGAAGAAAAAGAGAGATTGTGTTTTGCATTCCTGTGCAACCAACGGCGCTGTATGGTACACAGCCATATGGCAAAGATCTCCCCTCGTGCACCACTATGTCTGACAGAAAGCTCAGCCCTCCAGCCACCTTGCCACAGCCACAAGTCAAGGAGTAAGAAGTGGATGATTTGCTCACAAACAGCAGCTGCTCACAAACCAGAACAGGGCACTGGCGCTGACCTAAGTCAAGACCAAATCCACAGGCCTCGTCTGTCAAGCTCCTGTTGTAAAGAGCAATGATTGCCACCAGCACCCTAAGGAGAGCACAAGCTGCACTGGCATCACACAGGGTTGGCTGTTTGCTGTTTTTTTTTAACAGAAATATTACTGCATCTTCTCATTTCCCACTCAGTTCACCAGCAGCCAGCTGCAAAATGCAGACAATAAGCTTGCCCCTGGTTAAGCAGGTAGACACGCCTGCAGCAAGCCCCAGGAGGTGAAGGCAGCGCGATGGCACAGAGCAACACCTGATGGGCTCACGCAGAGGCTGCATCGACCCAGAGCCATCCGCGAGCACCCACACTGTCCGCAGGCCAAGCAGAGCAGCAGCAGCACTGTGGCACATCGTGAGGCTGCACGAAGCCGGCCTGTCAGCACACGCAGCGTGGCCTAATTAACACCCACTGGATGAGCACGAAAGGAAGAAGGAAAATGGAAAAAAAAAAAAAAAAGAAAACCTGACCAGTCAATGCTTGCCTGAACACAAGCCAGCAGTGTGCCCCGGTGACCAAGAAGGCCAACAGCATCCTGGATTCAATCAGCAGCAGTGTGGCCAGCAGGAGCAGGAGGCGATCATCCCCCTGAGCTCTGCTCTGGTGAGGCCGCACCTCGAGTGCTGGGTTCAGCTTCAGGCCCCTCACCATAAGGAGGACATCAAGGCCCTGGAGTGTGTCCAGGGAAGGGCTACAAAGCTGGTGAAGGGCCTGGAGCACAAGCCCTGTGAGAAGCGGCTGAGGGAACTGGGGGTGTTTTGTCTGGAGAAGGGAAGGCTCAGGGGAGACCTCATTGCTCTCTACAGGTACCTGAAAGGAAGCTGTGGGGAGCTGGGGGTCAGCCTCTTCTCAGAGGTTACTAGCGATAGGACTAGAGGGAATGGCCTCAAGTTGCGCCAGGAGAGGTTCAGGTTGGAAATGAGGAGACATTTCTTCTCAGGAAGAGCAGCCAGGCACTGGGACAGGTTGCCCAGGAAGGTGGTGGTGTCACCATCCTTGGGGGTGTTCAAGGAGAGGTTGGATGTGGTGCTTGGGGACATGGTTTAGTGGGTGATATCAGTGTCAGGGGGATAGCTGGACCAGATGATCTTGGAGGTCTTTTCCAACCCTCCTGATTCTGTGATTCACTTGTATCAACTAAACCACCCAGCTTGGTGTTATCTGCAAACCTGCTCTTGTCCAGATGTAACATCAATTACCACACTAAAATGACAACTGGAACAACTATGTTGTTTTTTATGGCTACGGTGCTAAAAGCGAAGTCAGTGACTGAAAAAAATAGACGGATTTTGGCTGTTCTTTTTATTATTACTCTTGACTGTAAACATGACTCCAACACTTCATTTTTATCTCAACACCCAAATCTACAGAAAGCAGTGTAAGGATACAGCAGTAACATTAAATGTTCTTCTGAGAAGGACAATCCTTAAGTGCCAGACACCTGTATAAAATACCATCCCTCTCTCAAAATAATCATTTTGAACACCCAGTAGATGGAAAACCCCAAACAGGTCACAGTATTTCTAGTTTATGCTCACTTTTAACTTCAGCTGCGGCAGAAGAATGAAACCTACTTGTAATGCCTGCAGTGCAAACGCTGACTAGCTAAAGCCTTTCAAGACTTCAACCGCCTGGAGTTTTTCTTGCTGAATGACTGCATCCCACAGGACCCACCAGCTCTCGAGTTCGAGCACTGCACAAAATCCCATGAGCACCAGAGCTCCCTTTACATTGTGCGGGGAGCAGCTTCCTCCCGTTTCTGAAGGACTTCGCACACGTGCAGAGAAGGACGGCTCCCAGGCTGACAGCATCCCTCCTCGCTTCCAGAGCTGGCCCTCTTATTGAGTTCATACACCCAGAGCTAGCTGCCTGTGATCAGTGCTACCTCAGCTGGCTTGGAGGTGATGCTCCCCTCTCCACAAGCAGCAGAGAGCTGTGAAGGAGCACGTGCTCGCTGGATGGGCTGGAAACACCTCGGCTACCAGGCCCATGGGCACTGGAGGTCATGACTGATGCTGTCTGCCTCACTTCACCTCACCACAGAGCCCTCAATAAATCACAAGAGCCGAAAATACACACAAACATTTTCGGATGATGCATCAAAACTTAAAAGGCAATATAAATAGGAAGTGTTTTCATGTCGGAGTGATGAGATTCCAATATATTTAGGAGTCCGGCTATCAAGTAAAGCGTTTCTTCTGTGTCATCAAATTTTAGATACGATTTTTTTGTAGCCTTAATCACAAATACATCAGTCTAGATTTCACTAGGGTACTCAAATTGAAATGGGGATGATGGACAGTGGCACAAGCTGTTATATAGAACTGATCACGACTGCTGCACAGAGCTTTTGCCTGTTTCTTCATCCCTGTAATAAAGCATCAGTGCCTATCAATACTGAGCCTTAACACTTACTTCATGCTATTCTTACCATAGCAGCTAAGTGAACTTGGTCTGCAAAATTTCTGCTCCTGTTGATCTCCAGAGACCAAAAATCCTCCTCCTCTAGGGAGTCAAGTTTTGACCAAAATAAGTTGCCCATCTTTCAGCATCAAAGAGTTGAGAGAGACATCTCCCTCCAAGATGGGCAGACGATTTGACTTCTCATCTGGTCCTTGTTCAAGAACAGCAACTTGACATTTGCTTCTTGTCAGCCCCCTCAGCGCATCTCCCCCCTGCTGCCAACCTACCACATGGCACTAACTGCAACTCCAGCAAATTCCTGAAAGCCACAGGTAAAAATACTGCTCCTGCAGGAATAACAACGCATCCATCAACACGCATTATATTTCTGCAAACATCACTGTCTTCCTGCAGGAAACAACTGCTGCTCACATCACTCAGATGCCAGCTGCCACATCCAAGCGCTCCTCTCCGTATGCCTTCAGCTCCGACCTTTTCTCCTCCCCAAGGCCTTGACACGGAGCAGAGCCCTGCACAGCAGCATCACTGTCAGCCCGAGTTAAGCGCAGCTGCAGGTAGGACGGAGCGCTTCCAGCGGGAACAGTGGCACGTCGGAAATCGCTGGTACAGGAGCTAGGGGTGTGTGCATGCTGCTCGCATTCACAGTGTCTGTGAGCAGATTCGGCTTCAAGATATGGCACGCATAGTCAATGCAGAATATTCTTCGGGTGTACTTGGACATTTATTCCACCTGCAAGACCAGGTCTGTAATGGGTACACATTTAACTTGACTGTTTCAAGTACCTGACATTGGACTAAAATGTGAAACTCTCTAGGCGACTTTAAAAAAATAAAGTGTTTCTACCCCTGAAACATCAAGCTGGGACCATCACGTACATGATAACTGACCAGGGCTTTTATGCATCATGTATCTTGATTACTTTTGCACTTCCAAGCATCACTTTGGGAAATACCAACAGCAGCTGCTGAAGGACACTGTGGCTCTGTCCACATCTCATCTCAAGACCTTGGACTGTAAAATTTTTATGCAATGCTACAAAAAAAAAAAAATTCAGTAGAGAGAGACATAAATAAACCTCTCAATAAAAACAGGTTTTGAAATTAGACTACAATGGCTATATTCATTCTTAATTTAATTAATAATGAAGCAAATGTTAAAAAAAAAAAAAAAAAGACTGCCAGAAACCACTGACAGATGATATACTGACAGGTTTACCTTAACAACTCAAGAATAGGTAAGCTGCATTTACATTAATTTTAAATTAATCTGCTAAAAATTCTAGAAAATACATTATGATAGAGCATTACCATCAACTCCTCTACAAGCAGCCTGAGTATCTGCCCATAAATTCATTTAATTACAAATAGATGATTTTAATAAAAGATGATCAAGAACCACCTCAACTCATAACATCTGAGCTGTACTACTAAAGCTAACTATGTTGTCCTTAGGAAGGAGAAGGTAAAAGCTTAAAAAATAATTCAGTTGCTCGGTGAACAGGAGATAATAGCATAGTAGCAGAGAGTAAAGTCATTTATCAGCATCACAACTTCCAGTGCACAGCATGAAAATACAGATACACTCTTGGAAACCTTTACAGTCCCCCACAAAAATAAGCGTCGGGGTGGGTTTTAGTTATTTTCCAATTGTGCAACATTCTCATTTTCTGGAGATGTTTTCATTCCTTGGGTTTCCCGGTGAGAACTGAAGCATTCAGCCCTGCACACGCACAGCCACTCTTCCTGTGATTTCGCGCAGCGCCATGGAGTTGACATTAAGTTGTTTGTGCAGACAGTGAACTGTCAGGGCAAAAAAAGTCGCGTCTTGGTATTGACTGAGCTGCTATGCTCCACCTTTGAGCAGATTTTGTCAGTCTAGAAGTAAACTTCAGGACATTAGCAGTATGAATTTAAGCAACAACTTTGCGGGTGAAGACGCAATGCACTACTTACTAATTGGGGGTGGCGGGACGGGATGTTAAAGATAACCCCAAACTTATTTTCCACTTGAGCAAGATCCTAACAAGCCCTGTCCATATGACTCTTTAATGCCAATACAGACATAGCATAAAACCACCAGCTGCAGCCAGAAGGGAACACCAGCACCACCAGAGTCTCCTAAACCAAAGCATTACCCCAACACGCTCCGTGCCACCACCTGAACCTATTCCATCCTGTGTCCACGGTGATCATCCTCTTCAAGGCTTAACCCACCTTTTCCATGGGGTTTACCAACCAGTGGTAGTATCTGTCATGCTCAGCACAACTGCTTCCAACTCTCAGAGCTTCTAAAAATACATAAGGGAAATACATGTTCTAGTCCAGAAAAGCCTGGCTTATGGAAGTTGGTCTTTTTTTGACTAGTTTACTTCTCCAAAGTTATTAGAATAGTCCACAGACCCATCAGACCTGCTGGCAAATCAACCACCACTGCTCTGTAGCTTAACTGGAATCCAATCAAAAAAAATCTCCCCCAAAGACATAACAATAATTGTTCACAAATATCAGGAACAACTTCCCTGCTAAAGATATGGGCAAAGCTGACAGAAAGATGTGGGTAACAGTAGAACGGTAATGCTGTCAGAGCATGTCTGTGGCTGGGCATCACTTCGCCAAAAGGCAACCAGCAGACACTTGGTCACTGCCACTTCAAAAGAGAGAAGAAAATTATTTCCTTCTGACACCTCAGGAAAACGATCTGCGTGAAGTGCACGTGTCTGCACGTGGAGAAGGGAAAACAACAATCCAGGGCAAGAACACCCGCATGCCACCAGAAACCAAACTTTGAACCAAGGCAGCAGAAACGTCACCTCCTGCTCCTTGAGGGACAAGGGTCAAAGGGAGGCAGAGGCCAAGCAGGAGTGGCACACGTAGCAGCACCTGGACAGAGGGCACACCAAGCAGATCAAACCCGAGTTAGTAAGGCATCAAAGCCAGCACAGGAGCATCAATCACCCTTCCCACTGATAATTAGTGCAATCAAAGCCTATATTTTTAAGGCATCTTCCCCCTACCCTCCCATCATTAACAACTTGAGAGAGAATGAAAACCACGGAGGCACGGGTGCATTAGCTCACCCAGCATTAACCAAGCATTTCTTGAATGTGCACCTTCAAGTACAACCGGGCGACATACTCCAAACGCTTTCAGGAACCAAACCCGTGCTCCAACTCAGAATTTGTTCTGCAGATAACTTCAGCTCCTGAACAGCACCTCACAACCCATGGGGGTACACATTTTATAATCAAAAAAACAAGCTGTGTGTATAATGATCACAATATCTATACCTACACTTGTAAAAAAAAAAAAAAAAAAAAAAAAAAAAAAAAAAAAACTAGCCTATTTCCTCAAAGTCATAACACTCCTTGCATTCACATGGAAACCAAGTACGATATTAAAAATTTACTGAAGATTGAGGGGACAGTAAAGCCTCACTGAGATGAAGCACTCGTTTCAAATGACAAACTCTCCTCCATTAATATTTAATTTTTAGCTACAACTAAAAAATACTCAGTTTTCCAACACTTCTGTTGTGTGCTGTAAGCGAGCAATTCCTCAAAAAATCCCCGCTGCCTGTTGCAAGTGCCAATGATCCAGCAATTATAAGCATTTTTGAACACCTAATCAAAACAATGCAAGCTGTATAAATGCATTATTTATTCTGTTCTGCAAACAGAAATTCGTAAGAGTGCTACTTCTGAAAACAATGCCATTTTATACATATATCTAAAAGCTATATCAAAACTCATGAAACGCATTTTTTCACTGTCACTTTGCATGCCAATTGCCCTCTATTACTACTTAAAGGGGTATCAGGCTTGCACGCTTAAACCAAATCCAAGCATTGTACACAGCTAGCACCAGGTACTTGTATGTAAACCTGGATAAGACTGAAAACAAGGCAGCAAACCACATTTATTATTTTGGGCACTGGAAACACTTCTGAAAACTGTAAAGTATGATCCAGCAAAGATGGCAGACTCAGTCTAGAAAGCTTCAAGAGCATTTTTTAAATTATTTCAGACAGGAAGCTACTGAGGGTTACATGACAAAAAAAAAAAAAAAAAGCTTTTTATAAACTAAGAAAAAAAAAGTATTTTGTTGCTGTTTTTTTTGTAAGAAACTAAATTATTGTTCCAGGTCTGAGTGAAAAGACAGAGGGAGGAAAGTTTTTAAGCAGATAAACAAACCGCTAGCACAGTACATGAAATTTGCTGATATTCAAGTTAACCCTGTAGATGCTCACCCACTTCACTTCTACATTTCTTTTATTATTCTTGATACTTCACATCTTCTTATACCAATTCAGGTGCCATAAGTGACCCAGCTGTATAGGACTGAAGACGCAAAGACACTTCCCCAAGGAAATTTTATGTGCTTTTTTACGATGTGACTGAAGTCATGGGAACAGGTGGCTAAAAATATCGCCCCTTTCTTTTCTATTCACTTTGACTCCAAAAAAAACACAACTTCTGGATTTCTGTACCATCTGGTTTAGCCTTGTTAGTTTAGCCTTCTGGTTTAGTCTTCTTAGACTTGGTATCCTACCGCATATACTCCAAATTCAAGCAAAATGCTCAAAGACTGAAAATCTTCAAGGTATGTGTTAACCAGAGATCTACAGGCGTTTTCATTAGGAAGTGCTAACGCCCCCAAGATTAAATTTCTCCCTACTCATTCTCTTGATTCTTGCTACAGATTCACCAGTTTACCAAAAACATGTAATACTTCTTCCCATCAGCTCAGGGAAACAGCTCGGTCTGGTCTTCCCAAGGTGCAGCACAGAGCAGCAAACGGCTCTGCCCATTTGTCTTCCCTTGCAGATCCCCTTCAGGCAGAGCAGCTTTTTGGCTGCTAGCATGATTAAAAACAGTCTTTCCATTAGGATGCCAGTGACACAAAGTAAGATAGCTGGAGCAAGAACAGAGCAGGGATTTTTTTTGTTTTGTTTTGTTTGAGGTCAACCTTATATACTGCGTTGTTTCTACTGAAACAGGAATCCTCACTGTTGGAGCAAGACAAAAGCAGCTGAACACCAAAAGGACCTGGCAGAGAGGACACCTCAGTGAGAATTAGAAGAGTTCATTGCCTATGCAGTGAATAAGAGCAGGGGTTTTCATGGGTCTGGAAGGCACCCCAAGCCCCTTGGAGCCCTGAGGGGTGGCTCTAGCAGCCAACACCAGCCACAGCCCCGCAGAGCTCTGCCAGGGAGGGAAGCCAGGCAGGTCTCCTCACCTGTGCTTTTGTACAGGGCAAGAATTCACATGAATCAGTCTTTGAGCAAGGGTACAATACTTGAATTTAAGTTGGAGACTCCCCATGTGCCACATTCCTTAAATTTTAAGTGTTTTTCTTTGCCAAATCATTCCCAAATAATTTATTAAAAATCAGTATTTGATGGACAATCACAAAGCGTGCACCCCAGATTAAACACAGCATTCCCTAAAAGCACATGTAACCTTTTAGACCAGCCCCAGCTTTCACTGCAACACTCAGGATGCATTACTCAGAAGATACATTATTTGGTGATCATCCTCCCAAGGTTTTTTCTTTTGTAGGCTCAGGCATTTAACAGACAAGAACTCCATACAAGGACTCCTAGCCATGCAGGCCATCCACAATGGCAAATAACCTACAGGTTGTTGTTTCCTTCTTTCTTTAAACCTTGTGTTCAGGGGAACCATGAAGCTGACCCGAATGCACGGGGAAAAGACAACTGCGAGCAGATCCAACCCCAAACTTGTTGTGCACTATCAACAAATGTGGCAAACGTGCCAAAGCAACCCAGCTTTCCAGTATCTGGCCCCACCTCCAGCATCTCCTGTTTCAGCAGACCGATAACAGGAAGAAAAGGCACAAACCAGAAACTAAGCTGGTCAAAGAAGTAAGAAAGCTTAACATATCACTTTTTTTTTTTTTAAATCATAATTTAACACGGAGAGCAGACACTTCCAACTCAAGTAGATCTGTAAATATTAGCACAAATGTCTCTGAAATCCAAACCCAGTTACTCTCAGAAAATGCTGGCTCTACAGGCTTAAAAAAATAAATCAAGTTTAAGGCTTACTTATATGTACCCCAAAAACACCAAAACTCATCTCCGAAAATCAATAAGCGAGTAAGTTATGCTGTGTTTGCAGTCAATGCTGGTGTCCACAAGCCAAAACAAACTACAACAGGACACTGCTGCAGTCCTTGGGGATCTGCAGGTGGGTACACAATGTAAGCCCCACCACACGGAGAGCATCTCCTCTCATCTGCTGCTCGCCACCATGCAGCCCAACACCCTGAATTTACCCCTTTGGAAAACCAGTCACACAGTCTTCGTGTCTGGAGGCAAAAAAAGTGCATTTCCCTTCTCAGTTTGCCACAAGCCTACACTGTTAAAAACATGTCCGTGGTTTCCTATTTGAATGCCTTCCAGACAGTGCGAGCCACTGCGCCTTTCCTTGCCTGGTATTTCCTCTTTGTGGAGGCAATTAAGGCCCCATTCAATCTTCCTCCTGATAAATTACAGATCGTCTTTCTCATTGGGTTTTACCTCCAGCGCTGGGCTTTAATGAAGTAAGTAAACGAGGCTGCCTCCGTCCCTCGGAGCTGCCAGCTCCTGCCACAGCCCTCTCCTCACTGATCCTCCCTTGGAGAAGACGGGATGGGATCTCTTCTGGGACGGGCTCAGCAGCCCCAAAACCACACACTGATGCTCCCATAAGGACTCTTCAAATCCATGCTAAACCCGTAAAAGTTCACCCTGCAGCCGAGCCGCCGCTGCATTAAATCCAAACCATTGCATTTCCCCACAGAAGTGGTGTTAAACTCCAGCAGGAGCTTGGTAGTTACACGTATAATCACAACGCAAACTCTGATCTAGAGCTGTCTGACAAACCTGAAGTCACGTTTAAATACATTTCTAGAAAGAGTTTTGACTGATTTCCAAGTAAAATGCCTCAACTTCACCCTGCTGTTTATTGGAGATGACACCTTCTCTCAAAGCTCAGCCATTCCCAGGTTTTTCTTCCAAAAAACCTTCAGTCTTAGATCTCCTGCCCAAAAGGAAACCCCTCAAATTAGCAAAAGGGCTTAACGCAGCCCCTCAGCTCTGGTTGCTGCCTCCAAACCATCTCAAACTCACATGCATATTTGTCCTGGATCTGTTATTTGCTCTCTGATATTTCAGTTTTTCCAAGTCTCATTGTTAAGCTCTTGCATAAAATTCAAACAGTGAATTCTGAGTGTTTTTGTGTTTGTTTTTTCTTTTTATAATGTAAAGCTGACATACTCATGATCTTTCTTCTGGACACCTGGATTAGAGAAGTCCTCATCTGCAAATTGCTCACAGTTAAATTCAAGAAGCTAAAAACACTGAAAGAACAACTGGGAGCTCCAACATCCTCAGTCTTATAGTTTTGTTAAGCAACTTCAGGTCAGTATTATTCTTCCAAAATTTAATGGAACTGAAGCCAGAACCAGTGAAAGGAAACAGCGACAGAATTGCGATGCTGAAAGATGTGTCATTAGCAGCAATTTTATTCAATTTCATAGTTAAGATAACCAGGATGAGGACAGACAAAGTATACCAAAGAATATCAAATAAGCTTTAAAACAACCCCACAGCTTGCCCCATATTTGGAAGTCTAGATGCTTACTAATGCTATGCACATGCAAAAAAAATAAATAAATAATAATCACTAACTCCTATACTGTAACTACTCATCATCCAAACTATAACCTATCAACGATTACTACAATTAAATTCACAAAGCTTATATGAACATAAAGGAAAATTACCAAAATACTGAATGTCATTTTAAAGCCACTACTTTTTTTTTTTAGCATTTAACTGTTTTCTTCTCTTATTCAGTTTATGTTCCCCTAAGTAATACTAAGTAATTTTCCTTCGCAGTTAAATAAAAATGAGCCTTTTCCGTGTAGAAAAAGAAAAAAAGAAAAACTAGAAGCCATGACTCAAGTTTATGGGGAGCTGAAAACATGAACAAAATGAAAGCTTTATCAAAA